CTTTCTTCTCCTTTAGTAGTTATCATCTTGAGTCCTAGAGAATGAATTTCAAACTTGCTGGATGTTTTTCTCATGACAGGGCTTACATTACCAATGGATTTTTGAAAGAACACCACTGAGGTGAAACAGTCTTCTTGTCATATCATATCAGAGTATATCACCAGTTTAAGAACAATTACTCTACTTAGCAGTAGTTGGATGGAGTGGAAATGGCAGATCTCACCCTGTTTCAGACAGATTAGAGTAAATAAGAACTCAGGAGAATGACAGAGGTTGTATTCCGATTCATCAGGTAACCAGTCTGTAGGGAAACCAACCTCTTGTTTCTAGTGTTGGCTTCTCCATTTGTACAATGTGTCAGTGATATATGAGGCCACTTCTTAAAACATTGTGATTCTAAAAACTCTGAGGATGAGGTTCACTTGTAAAGTACCATCCTACCATGCCCAAGGCTCTATGTTCCATCCCCAGTGCCACAAAAACAAACAAATAAATAAAAACCCTGGAGCTGGTTTCATTATTCAAATATTATCCATAGTTACATTTCCTAAGAGGAATGTGTTGTAATATATCATATCACCAAAATGTCTGGGTGTGGCCAGGAGGCCACTCTGCTTTACTATTGGTAGTTATGTTACTTATATCCTAAGACTATCAGGCACCTCACCAGAAGAAAACAAGTTTCAAAAACTAAGAAGAAAATTCAACTTATTCATTCATTCATCTTTATCCTAAGGACTCACTATTTTTTATTCTGTTACAAAGGATGCGGAAGCAAATGACATTTGTTTTTTAAATATCCGAAAGAGTGCACATTTTATTACTTAAAAAAAAGTTTCATGTTGACTCTAAGGAAATCTTACCAGAAAAGAGGATGCTTGGCTTGCAACACTGGATGTTCTAAGTTGCCAATAATTTGTACAAAGCCTGTGATTGCAAAACCACAACCATTTCACAATAGTGGAAACCTCCACTTAACCATAATAAATGACAGGGTGGATTCGTTTTAAATACATGGTTAATAATACTTTTAGCTTTAAGACTATAAACTGAGAGATTCACTACTGAGGTGAGCTAGGTAGTCTGCAAATGATTTTGCAAAATACTTTTTTACCTCTGAGTGTTAAGTCTGACCTGGATGGAACATTCTACTAATATTGGATCAGGCGCTCGTCTGAGGTAATTTGCCTGTGGGAGTTATACCGTCTGTGAAACCAGCTCCTCTTAGTAGCTGTTGTTTTAAAACAAAAAAAGAAAGAAAGAAAAGAAAAGAAAAGACAGAAGAAGCAAAACAGTTTTACGGTGCATTTCAAATGATTGAAGCCAGTCATTATTAGACATTGAGATGAAAAAGAATGTCAACCAGGACCTTTAATGTGTATTTATATTTAAACGTTAGACCCAACAGAAAACTCTGAAGCATTACACAATGATTAGAGCCTCATATGGGCCCAATTCATGTATTGTCAGGTGAACAGTCGGCCTGGCACTGGAGCTGTCCTCGGGGCATAGGGTGCTGAGGGTCCAGGTACCGCCTAGAATGATGCAGTTACAGCAAACAGTGGCCTGTCTGCAAGGGACGTGTAAACACAGCTGTGTCTGCCCTGCTGCCTTTTCAGTCTCACTTGATAATGCTAGTGTTGGTTTCAACTGATACGTGTGCCAGATTTCAGATAGCTCGAGCTGGCATTTCAGAGCAGTTACTTGTGAAACTTGAGAAGAAAATGGGCCCATTCTTCCTAAAATGGCTATTCAAATATGGTCTCCTTCTCCCCAGAGCTCTCTGGGTCTCACTTTTGCTCTGTTCTTACCTACAACGCATGAGGAACACAGCCTTTCCCTTGGCAGCTTTGCCATCTTTGCTGGGACTGTTTTGCCTTGTTAAAATGTGCCCCATGTATTAAAATGAAATTGTCACTGCTGGGTGGTACAGTGTAACATGGTTTGACACTAAGTGCCGGCAGCTATAGAAAACAGACTTTTATTGCATTTATTCTTTCAGAAAAGAGTCTCTAAAGGCTCACAGCAGACATTCACTTAGTTAAATCTGAATGAACCCAAAGTGAACAATCTATGCTGCTGTCTTTGTGTTCAAAGAAACAGCCCCCATCCGGCCTGATATGGCTGTAAAACAGTGTTAAGAAAAGACGATCAGATTTAGAATCCAAAAGGGAAGACTTGAAGCTTTCAAACCAGAAGAAAAATATTGCACGTGGTGGAGTGGGTTGGCCACCTGATTTTCTTTTTTAGCTTGCCCTCTGTTCCCTAAGATGCATGATGTAAAATCAGCACACACACCCTAACCCCCATTTACTCATGGTCTCTTCATTTAGAATTCTATGTCATTTTAAGACAAAGAGAAAGGGCTTGATTTGTAGAACTTTGGCATGAAAGCTTTAGAATGTTAACTGCCTTTTATCTACATGAGCATCCAGAGAGAGATTGAACAGAGAGGAGACTCTAGGGCATAAACTTTTCATTCCATAACTCTCCTGGAATAAAAATTCCATAAAGTAACATCTGTAGTAATTAAGGACTTACATTTCCTCTCCCATTCATGTCTCTGCCCCAGGAAAGGTTATTTTCCCTAAGAGACAGTAGACAGTAGATCCTGGGGGAAGATAGGAAGAACAGAGCTAGAATTCTTTTGTTCCTAGAAAAAGAAGTTTCCTACTTAAAAAAAAAAAAACAAATTAGATGAATTATGGTTAAAAGTGTCCTCTGGAAAGAATACCTGGGAGAGAGGGGCAAGTTGTAGCCAGCGTGTCCTAAGCATTTGATGGGTAACTTGTGACTAAGTAACAAACAAATAAGTGCTATATTTATTTTATCAAGCATAAACAATTTTTGTCTATACATCAAATTGACTCATTCTTAAGATTTTCCCAAGTAATATGGCAGTGTGGATCTTTTGTGTCATCTAATAAAATGAATACTGACCTATTAATGTCAAATTAGTTTCCTACATCTTATTTTCTTTTTTTATTGTCTATTCATTTATTTGTATGTGCATACATTGTTTGGGCCATCTCTCCCTCCTGCATCTTAAAATACATCTTATTTTCATAGCCAGATAAACTACGTAAGTTATGAGGCCCAGTGAAAGATGACATTGCAAGACCCCTTATTAAAAAATTATTAAGAATTGCAAGATGGTGACAGCAGGGTTTTCAGCCATGTTCAGGGTCATTCTAAGGGAAGGGCTCTGTGGAAGGACAAAGGTCTCATGCCTGTGAAGTTGATCTGGTTAGTGATAGGGGTTTTCCATGTGTGGCAATACAGAATAATTTTATTCCATCCACCATAGGAATGTATATCTGAAAACAAAATTAGTCAAAAAATAATTAAAACTCCCCAATGAAGTCAGTTCAATGCTGTCAATATCTTGTCTGCATCTCCTACTCTGTCCATAAGAGTCTCCCAAAGTAGTCTTCCACTTGGCCATGAGCTCTGCTACCTCTACCCCAGTATGCAGAGGACCCTCTCCCCAAGGCTCAGCGCCTCCCCTTGTCCTATTTACTTCCCCAAAAATCTTTCCTGCTTCACATGACACTTTGCAGTGTTTTCCTTGCTTCTGGGATTCTTCTCATATTTGAATTCTTACGGTTATAATAAATATGTACAACTTATTTGGAATTTATTAAAATAATTTTTCTTATCTTGTTTCTTCCACATGTAATATGTTCACATTATATGATCCTGAAAACATACATAAAATTTAGACACAGGAAAGTTTTACAACTTATATAGTATTATGTATTATGTATGTTATTACATAGCAGAAAACTCAAAATTATACTTTGCCTTTGGACAAACTTCACACATTTCACACATTTTTTGTGAGTCTATGTGCTGTTTCTGAAGTTCATTTTTGCCTCTACTGTACTCTTCTTTGTAGGACTTAACTTCCTTTAATCAAATCAACTTTAATTTTTATCTTGCCCACCTAATTTTATAAGATAATAAAGGCCAGATATAATGCATTATTTAAAAATTGTTGCAAATGCTACTATACTTGAGACATGGCAAGATGGAAATTATGATGGTATGGCTGAAATTATGATGGTATGATCCTTAGGATCTATGAAAGATGCTGAAATTTTGTAGAAGAACCCCACTTTAGAAATATTGGCATCTTAGTATTAAAAGAAAAAATAAGGGACTGTCCAAAGTTCAATATTAAGAAAGTATAAACCTTCATGCATGTGTTTTGGTATTTTCATCACACATGTAACCACAAATAACTCACTTTAGGTATCTCTCACACAGTGGCTTTTCAGTAAAAGTATCATGGTGCTGACAAGTACACTACTGTCCCAGTCATTGCTGTAGGCTTCATGCTGCTCAAACATAACACACCTCCACACTTGTCTTCAGTGTGTTGTTACAGCACAGGCTATAATGCCAGATGGGCTGGGTTCTACCACTTATTGGAAAGGTGGTGTAACCCTTCCAGCCTTGTTGCCCTCATTGGCCTCTACTTTTCAAGCTTTCTAGTTCAGTCACAGTAAACATTTATTGACCACTGGCCATTGCCAAACATCCTGTATTAATTAGTAAGATAATATCTTAGGTTATGTCTGGATGAGGACTAGGCCCAGAACCATCTCAATAGGCTACTGTCTAAGCAATACTTTCAGCAATGATGACTTTGATGTTCCTTTATCAGCTTGGTCATTGTGGCCATCTAAGCAGTTGCCAATTCGGGTAAACTTGTCCTGTCAAGATTTTCCATTCCTTTTCTTTTCCCTCTTTCTTTCTTCCTTTCTCCTCTCTCTCTCTCTCTCTCTCTCTCTCTCTCTCTCTCTCTCTCTCTCTCTCTCTCTCTCTCTCTCTCTCTCTCTCTCTCTCTCTCTCTCTCTCTCTCTCTCTCTCTCTCTCTCTCTCTCTCTCTCTCTCTCTCTCCCCTCTTTCTTTCTTCTTTTCTTCTTTCTTTCTTTTTTTCCAGTACACACAACTTGACAAAAGTATATGATCCCCTGTTCACCTTCTTTTTCTAGAATGGAGTCTACTGAAAAATGTGAAGTGGTAATTCAACATTTTAATGGAAAATATCTGAAAACACCACCAGGCATCCCAGGTAAGAAATGTCATTTAAAAAATTAGTTACAAAGTGTCAAGGCTTATTGCTGTTATTCAAATGAGTACATGGTAAGCCCTTTCTTGGTCCCTAGGAGGAAAAGTTTGCTTTTAGAAATCTTTTTTTTTTTTTTGCAGTACTGGGATTTGAACTCAGGTCTACACCTTGAGCCACTCCACCAGCCCTTTTTAGTGATGGGTTTTTTTGAGATAGGGTCTCAGGAACTATTTGCCTGGACTGCCTTTGAAACATGATCCTCCTGATCTCTGGCACCCGGCAAAAGTATACATTGTTTTTTAATTGTTTTATTATTCATATGTGCATACAAGGCTTGGGTCATTTCTCCTCCCTGCCTCCACCCCCTCCCTTACAACCCACTTCCCCCTTCCCCCCCACGCCCTCAATACCCAGCAGAAACTATTTTGCCCTTATCTCTAATTTTGTTGAAGAGAGAATATAAGGAACAAGTGTTTTTGCTGGTTGAGATAAGGATAGCTACAGAGGTAGTTGACTCACATTAATTTCCTCTGCATGTGTGTTACCTTCTAGGTTAATTCTTTTTGATCTAACCTTTTCTCTAGTTCCTGGTCCCCTTTTCCTATTGGCCTCAGTTGCTTTTAAGGTATCTGCTTTAGTTTCTCTGCGTTAAGGGCAACAAATGCTAGCTAATTTTTTAGGTGTCTTACCTATCCTCACCCCTCCCTTGTGTGCTCTCGCTTTTATCATGTGCTCATAGTCCAATCCCCTTGTTGTGTTTGCCCTTGATCTAATGTCCACATATACGGGAGAACATACAAATATACATTTTTAAATACTATATAGTAACTCATTTTTTTCAAAAGTTTCCTTTGATTCTTTTTGGGTTTTGTTTGAATCTCTCCTATTATTTCCTAAACCTGGGTTAGAAGAGAAACACAGCAAAGCATGGATAAAAGATGCAGTTGAAATGAGGAAAGTTTATGACTCTTATCATTAATATTGCAACCTTGATTTATAATTTCTAAAATAGCTTATCAGTGATAATCATAGTGAAGTCCACAAATTGATCCCTGACTCCAAACATTTCTTACCAGTACATGACAAGAAAAATGAGGAAAAGAAAGTAAGCATTCAGAAACTTTTATGGCAATTTGATACTGTCATAAAATCTGAGTGCATAATTTTATATTTTACAAAAATATCAGTTCCTAGAGACTGAAATATTTCAAAAGTATGCTCTATTCATTAAGGACAGTTTACGTCCCAATGTAGACTATCCCATGGTTGTTCACATTTCCTCAAGCAAAATTCTTAAGGTCTTCCACACATTTAAAAAGATAACTTTATGCTATTAAAAATTATACTCAACATAAAAGAATTGAATATATTATGTGTATCAGAGTTGTAAATGTCCCAACTTGATATTAATCTGGCTGGAGGATGCACGGAACATACTGGATGTAAGGTAAGTACATTTAAAAATATATTTCATTAACACATAAAAAATTAAGATGAAGTGCTAAACTGAGAAGAATTACAACAAATAAAGAACTGCGTGATTTATTTATTACTTTTTTGATTATGATGATTCTCAGTGTGTGGAGGAATGTGAATTCTTTAGTCTTATGATATTTTTCTTTGGGCTCTCTAAACTAGATCTTAACACTGTTTGTTCCCTGATGCATCTACTATGTAAAGTACATGCAATGTAGGGAAATTGGGAGGTAGGTATTTCATTCCCAAAATATATCGATGTTATATGGAAGAGGAAAAGTAAGATGTCTTTATGGCTTGGTTGGTCTTGGAAGGATGACAGGAAAGCAGGAAGACCCTTCACCCTCACTTGAATGATGTGGGAAATCCAAGTTAACTGATGACTGGTTAATTAGTGAGTGAGCATGCAGTGAAGGCTATGCCTTGATTGTTTGGCTTCCATTCCCCAGAGAACTGACTGCATTGTGATCCAATTGGAGACATATGGTGTTGTTGAGGAAGAAGTTAGCAGTTTTCATCTCAGCATGTAAGCTGCCCTTGCATTTTAGGAGAAATACTCCCCATCCTTTAGCATAAACAGGCATTTTAAAGCAATATCCAGACCTGTCATTGAATAGAGGAGCTGCATGTTAATGAGTTTTCCTCTTATTTATCCCAGTTTATCGAATAAATACCTATGCACTCAGGTATTCAAATGAGGTGTGAATTATAACATTGTATAAAAAATTAAATAACAATCAAACTATGTAGAAATTATTGTTAATTAATGTTTTAGCCCTGGTTTTAACTACTTAGGTTTCTTCCTTTTAGAAAAAGACATATCAAAATCCTTCTTGACCTCATTGATTTGAAAATATTTTGTTAGGTTTCACCCACAGAGCATTCAGCTGACTAATACAATAATGCTAAAGACAAAGAAAGTTACTACAAATTCTTCAAATGTCCCAGCATCCTTCCTAAATGTACAGACTGTGATATTAACCTATCTAATATCATAGCTACACCCAATGGAAACACTGTGAATAGCAAGAACTTGGTTATGAGTTTCTCACTCACATATCTCATGGGGGCAAGAAAAATAATAATTACGCTCAGTTATAAAACTCAGAGATATAACTTTATGCTTCTGAGATGTGCACTCAGCATAATAGGATTAAATATACAATGTTGATCATCAGTTCTTGAATTTGCTTATTTACGCATTATTTTGGAAGTCAGAGTTTAATAAAAACTTCAAATGCTAACTGAAGATACTTAATCTTTGATATGTAACTTTGTGGAATAAAAAAGGATAGAATGCAAGATATGGGTATTTTGGAAATTAACAGTGGTAAAATGTCCCCATTGGTTGTAATTTCTAAGTCACAGCAAAGTGTAATCAAATTTGGGCATATGTTGTTTATCTTTGTATCCTCATAGTTTATTTGTTGATGTATTTGAAATATTATTTTTAGCCTCATGTCTTAATCCAGTTTTCTACTCCATAGAGTAGAATTTCATTAGGAGCCTAGAGACAATGCTTTAGGGTTTATTTGTTTTTAAGCGATTGTTTTCCTAACCTTTTTCAATATAATATTTTAAAGAGCTTGTCCTTGCTTGTGGATGTACTAATTAAAACCATTCTTAATTGATCTGATCCACCTGAAACAAAAATATAATTTTAAAACATTTGAAAAATCTCAATATTCTGAATGACCATAATTTATTATTTTTGAATTCAGAGGTGTGTGTTTTGCAGAAGTATATATTGATGGTTTAGTTCAATGCTTCATGATTATGTGAATGAGGGACCCTCAGTGGTCCAATTTTTATGTGAGATCCTTAGGCCTTAAGAAAGCTATTGAATCACTCATCTTTTCAGAGTAGAACCCTTCTTTTAGTCTTACTCTAAGCAATTGCAGAGCAGTTGATGCCATATTCACACTGCTTACTTCTTATTTTAGAGACAACATACAGAAGTGTCGATGTGCCATTGAGCAAATATAGTGTCATTTTTATTTCTGCTACTCCTGACTATAATGATTACTATTACAGGATATACAAAGCTATCTTCCTGAGATGGTCATCTACTTTCCAAATTCCCTATTGTGCCATTTCTATAAAAGAACAAGAAAAATATTTCCTTCAACCCAAAGCTTTGACATGGCTCTAAATGTTAAATTCTAAAAACTTCATAGTTAAAGATGTTTACAAAGACAAATAACATGGATCACATCTATGTTGTCACCATCATTTTTATATGAAACATTGTAGGAATGATTTTTCTCAGTAAACATAATTCATGGTGCTATTGAGTTTCAATTCCTGACAAATTATGTGAGTTGATGGGAATTTCATAGATAACCTTTTTGGATTATGGTCTCTCTCTCTCTCTCTCTGGGCATCTCCTATTTATTTATAAGAGGTCTAATTTCTGTTTGCTTGTTCCATTGAGACAGGGTCTCAATATAGTCTGGCCTTGAACTTATGCTCCTCCTTCCTCAGCTTCCCTAATGTTAATGATTGCATTGTAGATCATTAGCACCTGTTAGAGCTTCCTCCAACTGTTCACTTTAGGTTATGTTATTGCAGACTTTGATTACATGGATCAATGGAGCTAAATATACATGCTAAAAGTCAAACTATTGAGTACTCATCTATGTAGGACAGGAAGCTAACAAAGATAGGTGTCAGTGTTGCTACTAGCACACAGGAAGGAGAGGCCAGAGGTGTGTGTTGAACAGTGTCAATCACTTGAGTGCTGTTACCATTAGCAAAAAGAGATCATGCAGTACATTCACCCCCCTAGAGAAAAAAGAAAACAGCACGTTCCATAAATGTTGCATGTCCTACATATCGATCTTGATGCTTTCTAGACAAAATGAAAGATCATTAGTTGCCTGCCTGACTAACCCCAGACATTTCTTTGTCCCATAATGAATTGCACAGCTATGTTGTGCAGCCCCAAGCATTCCATTTTCAAATACCTGGCAAATGCAAAGGGTAAGTTCTCAGACACTTTAGGGATCTGTAGGACATGAACTTGAGAGGATCACTTTCAAAAAGCCCCTAGAGCAATGTGATATACCATGTGGAAAAGGCTTTCACATGTAAGGACATGTATTGATGAGCAGAACATGCAGGCTGGTTTATAGAAAAATAAATCATGTTTTGCTCTCAGACTAGACTTTTGCCTGTAAGCACATGTTCCTATCAGTAAAGCTGTCTTTCCAAAAGAAAATGAAATAATCCACTTCTGATAAGAAGTTCTTATTTTTAGAAAATTGTTTCTAATCCCAATTGAACCATGAGAAGTAGGGAAGTATTGGAAGGCAACTAGCCACATTATAGGACATTTTAAACTTTAGCAGATCTTGTAACCAACAGAAAACTGGACAAGTAATTAAGTACCAGATAACTCATATTTTCTAATAAATAGAATAAAATTTTTGTGCCTTCTGGATATTTTGGCACAGTAATTTTATTGTTTTAGGTTGAGAAAGTAAAAATATGTATAATTGGGAATGTGTATGAAAACTTCATGAGAT